CACACTACTTAGGGACTATTTGGAAAGCTCTGATTTGTATAGAATATTCTTTTTGTAACCGCAGTCTTTCTGGAATATCTAAACAGGAGACTAAATATGGCTTTCTTCCAGAGAGATAATAATCTTTTCAAAGAACTCGGCTTACATCTGAAAACTGAGGTTTTCTTCATCTCAGCCACGCACAGTAGGCTGACTTTTTGAAAAATCCCTTCCTTGAAAATGATCTTAAAGTCATTTAAAGTGTGAAACTCTCTCCGGAGGTCTGTAACCCTTGGCTTTTGGACAAGTCAGTCTCAAGAACCTCTTCTAAAAATAAAACAAAGCCTAGAACTTCCAAGGTGGAGCACCTCTAAGCATCAGATACCTCTTGATCGCTTGTCTTCTCGACAGTTTTACTGTACCAATATTAGTATTCTTATTCCCTAAAACCCCCAAAGCCACTAGGGGGCAATGGAGCTATCCGTCACCCATTTTTTTCCATTCATACTTGTGAAATGATTCTAATTTTGTGGGTGGGGGGCGGGGGGGGAGAGAAGTTGGGTTCTTTGCTATGATGAGTCATCTATGATGTAAGCATGAAGCCGGTCTTCTTTTGACTAAAAAGTTGATTATGTGTGTTTGGATGTTTAAAAAAAAATAGTGGGGAGGAGAAGAGATTTCCCCTTTTTAATGATCTCAACAATTCCCTCCCATGTCTCACTCGGTATATAACCGGTCCAAATGTCCCTTTTTAGGCATCACTTTTATGAATGAAGTATCCTGTGAACTGCTGATCCTCTTACGTCACTCCAGGATGCCACTTTCAGTGAGAATCATCTTTGCAGGTAAAAAAGAAATCTTTTCCCAAGCTTTAACTTTGTTTTAAGATTTTCATTGACACTGTCAAGGTCTACAGCTGGAACTGCACCTGGGTCTCAGATGTTCACCCTCTTCCTTTTCTTGCCACAAACACGAGGACGTGTCACTACTTGGGCCCAGTTCCGCTAAACATCTGGGCATTCAACCAAACGGTGTTGGAAAAAGCTTCTTTTTCTCTTTTTCCCTTTATTCCTGGCTGCCGGGAAAACACCTGGGTCACTGAACAAAGAGCTGCTTTGCTTCACCAAGGGCTGATTTTAAAAGAAAATGGGTGAGCGAGGACATTGCGAGAGCCAGTTTGGTGTAGTGGCTAAAGGCACCAGGTTAGAAACCGGGAGGCTGTGAGTTCAAGTCTTACCTTAGGCACAAACCCAGCTGGGTGACCTTGGGCCAGTCCCCCTCTCTCTCTCAGCCCTAGAAAGAACGAATGGGATGAACCTTCAAGGATGCAGATACAGGTTAGGAAGAACTGCTTGACACTGTCAAGAAACCACTCCGTGTGGTGACATATTCCACGGCTTGACAGCCGTGGAATATGTCACTACACAGAGTGGTTTCTCCCCCTTCGCTGGAAGTGGTCAAACAGACCCTGGTTATCAGAGATGGCGTAGTGAGTCACGCAGTGTGCGGGGTTGGACTGGATGACCTCTGAGCTCCCTTCCAACTCGATGATGCTATGAAAGGAGTAAATGTTAATAATAATATTTGGCACCTATTTTAACAGCACAGATACCGTTTGCTACTCCCCTCCTCCAGGGCAGAAATATCTTTCTGAACCAAGCAAGGGCTCTATTGCCAACCTCAGTGCTCCAAAACTGAATTATTCTCACCGGAATATGGGTTCAAGAGTGACTCATCCATCGATTTTGGCCTTAAAATCCAAACCCAACTGCCCGTCCGGATTTGGTACCATAGGCTGGCCTCCTCCATTTCTAACCATCTTAGAAAAGCAGCCCAACCTCGCCTCGTGATGTAACAACTCCATTTGCTGGATTGCCGTTTCCAGCATGATGGTTTCATCACCGCACAACCTTTCTCCCAGTCGTTCGCTCTAGTGTCAGAATTCCCTGGGTGTTGTGCAATCTGGTGCAAGAGCTGCCAGAGGTGTGCCTCTCTTTGACATCTGCACGCCCAGGCTGGAGATTCGGCTACGTTTCCTGTTATTCCAAAAATTCCTCTCCAGGGCCTCTCTTCTCTTCCTTCCTCCAGAAATCTTGCTTTGATATCTCCTCCCCTTCTGGACGTCTTCCATCTCTGTTGGATCCTCTTTCTGCTTTGTCATCTTTCTGGACAGAAACTAAGCATCAGTTCGGAGGGGTATTTCCAGGGCAAATCTCCTCTTTGATTTTTTTTACCTTGGTCTGCCCGACCGACAGGATGAATCCAATCAGGGGCTTCTGAATCAGGGCGGCGATGTGATGTCTGGAGCTTTCTTGGCCGTTGCGACAAAGATTTGAACTGCTAGTCTGAATAGAATCGAAACCCAGGCTTGAACCACATTGCAACTTGAATCAGATCAAAGCTGATATGTGTGCTCACGTCGGATGCCGCAGGAGCAAAAGCAGCATGTGTATAATAGCAATTTCATTGAATCTTAATTCAGTCTGGTTGCGTACCTGTACAGTGGCTGACGCACGGTATTGCTCTCATGTCTTCGTTGCCAGTGGCATGGAGGTGATTGGTCCACAAAACATTTTTAAAAAATTAGTTCAAAAAAATTAAAAAAAAATTTTTTTAATTAGTTTAAAAAAAAAATTAAAACACAGAAAGCAGGAGGATCACAAGGCCTGGATCTACCAAGGCTCTTCTTTCGTTCATCCTCTTGTTGTCCTTCCCATATCAGGCCTTCTCTCTCCTCTCTTACGTCCTGAAGCCATGCATCCAGACATGAGAACATCGGAGGGGGCCTGGAGGGAATCAGGCCATTGACCATCTAGTCCTACATTCTGAGTAGTCAGACAGATAATACCTTTGAAAGCTTACCAGCTTGGACTGGAGGGCAAGGTTCCCCTTTGTCATTTTCCAGGAGCCAAGATCGCTGCCTTGAGTTCAGGAAGGGAGACACAGCTGTCCTTACGTGTAGCAACTTCAAGCCATGAGAAGTAGCATTCCCTTCTATCAGCCCTCCATCATTTTCCACTGATGATCCCAAGTTGGGACAAATTCCATTTATCTTTAGCATATCTCCCTTTTCTTCCTTTCTTCATTCCGAGCTAAAGAGCTCTAATGTCCTCTTTGGATGATTGCAATGCACTCTGCATGGGGCTGCCCTTGGAGACCACCCAGAACTTACAACTGGTCCAGAACGTAGCCGCGCACCCTGTCTTGGTCACCTCTAGGTTCACCCCCATTCCTCCCTTGTGGTGCGAGCTGCACGGGCTCCCAGTTGCTTTCCAGGTGCAATTCAAGGTGCTGGTTCTCACCTTTAAAACCCGAGATGGCACAAGGCTAGGTTACTAGGGACCACCTCTCTCTGGAGGATCTGCCCATCCCATTAGATCAGATAGGATGGACACGCTCCAGGTCCCTTCCCCGAAACCTTGCCATCTCATGGGACCTAGCAAGTGTGTTTTTTCTGTAGCTGTCCCTACCTTATGGAATATACTCCCCCCAGCTATCTGGCAGCCCCCCACCCACTTAGCCTTCCAGAAGGCCATTCAAACCTGGCTCTTTACTCAGGCACTGGGGTAGAGTGGTGGAGCGTGGGAGGTTGATCAAGGCACCAGCTTTTTCGCTTTTATGTGTTTTTATGGATTTTATAGGGGGGTTTTGCTTTGTTTTACTGTGAGCCACCCAGAATTGTTTTCATATAAAGTGAGAATGAGAATATAGTAGCTGGTTTTTGAAAATAAGTACCACAAACTTTTCAAAGGGCACAGAGACATGGACAAGTCCAGGTTTATCCCTGTGTGATGCGCAAAACTGTGTGATGAAGTAATGCTTCTGAGTGTAGTCCAGTGTTTCTCAACCTTGGCAACTTTAAGATGCGTGGACTTCAATTCCCAAAATTCCCCAGCCAG